TCAGTTTTGTCCCAAACTTCTCTATACGCTTGTTGCTTCCAGTATGCCGTGAATAGGGTTTTAAAACCCTAGACAGATGCTCATTACATATATTTATAGATTTTCACAAAACCACAATCCATGTCTAATTCGGCCCATAAGCAAACCTAGGATGTACAATGTCGGCTGCCTATGAAAACTATAAACCCCATGAAAATATATTCACGTTGCAAACTAACTAAAACCAACTAAATGTAATTTAACTAATCCAATTTAATTTAATTTTAACTTAAAGCAATTAAATCCATAAGTAAGACAATTAAATAAAATAAATCAATTAAATAAATTAACTCAATTAAATGTAAGTAACTTAAACAAGTCATCAAACGCAACAATTAAATCCATAACTAATCCAATTAAAAATAATTTAACTTAAAACAATTAAAATCAAAGAAATAAACAAAAGCAATTTTAAACAATAATTTAAATACAAAGAAATAAACAAAAGCAATTTTAAACAATAATTTAAATACCAGGACTATCCTTTTAAAATTAGGGGTATTACACATATCCTTTTAAATAGAAGGGATATGAATGGAATAATAATTTTTTTCTTTTTAATTGTTTAGGGCAGTTTCAGAATTATGAAAATACTACTTAAACAATATCCTTTCTCTCCTTATTTTCTTATTTTTGGAAAGATAGAAAATGAGGGATAATGAGGGATAACTATTTCTCTCTATCTTTTCCTATCCTTTCTTTTATCTCATTTTAAATTACCCAAACGTATTTATGTTGCATTTGGTGTGCAGTAATATTGGAACCAAACCGAACCAAACTATGAGAAGATGGTTTGATTCGGTTCGGTTCTACAGTTCTTGGTTTTATAATTCAGTCTAATATACAAATGAAATTAAAAATATATATTATAATTTCCATTATAATATAGATTTTTATTATATATTATGATATATAGTTATTGGTTAAAAGGCTAATTTTATTATTTTATTATTTATATATAATACAAAATATATAAATAATTTATAAAATAGTTCGGTTCGGTCTTGTAAAACTTCAAACTGTAACTGAACCATTTATAAACGATTCTATGATTTTGGGAACTAGAACCGAGCTGAGCGGTAAAAAAATCAAACCAAACCTATCTGTCCGATTCAATTTTTTGTGCATCCGTAATAGCAGTCATATTTGTGTCCTACTTTTTAAAATAATTGCCATATTAATTTAGCATGAACCAAAAATGGTATGTACATATAGAGCCAATGAGGTTTTTATTAATTTCCCAAAAATTGCATTAATTTCAAACTTACCTTGAAATTAATCTCACGATAAACATGAAGCATCACACAAATAATTTATTGACACAACTTCACAGGAAAATGATAATTTTGACAACCCTTTCATACCGACAAAAAAAACCTACTTTGACATGGTAATACACTCATTTAATGTGTAAGGGTCATTGCATATTCTTGATTATGTTTCAGGGAATATCGGGATTCATTGTATTGCTTAGTTATTTTCTTTGTCTTGCTGGGTCAGAAAGTAATTTTGATGGTCGGTCGAAAAAGATTTGTTATTGCAGTTTCACGGCGTTCCACGAGAGGATGTGGAAAGAGGATGCATTATTGCTTTATTTGGGTAGAGAGATAAAATGATCTTCCCGGGATTTAATTATGTATTGCCTGGTTCTTTTCTTTATATTGCCTATTCAGGAAGTAATTTTGATGGTCGGTCGGAAAAGAGATGTTATTGCGATTTCACGGCGTTCCACGAGAGGATGTGGAGAGAGGATGCATTATTGCTTTATTTGAGTAAAAAGAGAAAAAAGGATCTTCCAACTTTTGTTAACAAGTGCCTTTATATATTTAGATTTTAAAGTGGCCCATACAGTGACATCCACGTAGAAGTCATAATATATCGGGTTTTTTTTATTTTTTTTATTTTTTAAGTAAGGCGAAATAATAGTACTCATACTTCACATAAACAACATGGATTGAAAGTATTATTTAATTTTTAGACACTTGGTTTTTTAATGATAAAATAAAACACAGCTAGATCAAGTCCATTAATAAATAATAAGAGGATTTCATTTTATGAAATTAAATAAAATTTGACTAAACTCCAATCCCAAATATTCTTTAATAATATGATAAAAATAAATCCATGTGTAATTAATTTTTGTGGAAAGTATAACCATTTTTGAATGTACCGAAAATAAACCGGCCTATATATGGCTCGATCCATTGGGTTCAGAGCTTGGAAGGGTCGTCAATCCACCCACAGGACAGCCCGACAGGCCCAATGCTTGTTCAAACCATCTCCAGGCCCAACTTCCTCACTGTGATGAAGAAGTCCTCCTTTCATAACGGCTCGAATAAAAGGCCCAATGAAGATGAGCCCAGCGGGGAAGGTTCTGAGAGAGGTTTTTAGGGCAAATATATACTTATATAAATAGAGGCTAGAGAGAAAAAATAGGTGGATGGAGTGAAGTGTATTGAAATTTCTTTCTGAAAATAGAGAGCAATTTGTGGTACATTCATCTGGCGCCGTCTATGGGAAACGAGAAAGAAAACTCATCGATTTTCACATATGGAAGGTTTGATCCGATCAATTTCCAGTGAGGAATGTGAGATCTGGTCAATTTTCGCATAAGGAAGGTCAGATCTGATCGATTTTCACATATGGAAGGTTTGATCTGATCGATTTTTAGCGAGTAAGGTTAGATCTGATTGATTTCTAGTGAGGAAGGTGAGATCCAGTTGATTTTCACGTAAGGAAGGTCAAATCTGATCGATTTTCACGTATGGAAGGTTTGATTTGATCGATTTTCAGCAAGGAAGGTTAGATATGATCGGTTTTCAGCAAAAAAGGTGAGATTCGATTGATTTTCAGTAATAGATGACCCAGCTCCATTCAGGAACAATGATTATAGGAGAAAGCTCCCATCAGCAGGAGGACGAGTAGCGGGCGAAGCTCGATGAGTTAATGAACATGATTGAAACCTTAAGGCGAGAGAACGCAGAGCTAAGAGCCGTATTGGAACGAAGAGATGTTCCGCTGATTCCTCGACCACCACCAGTAGACGAGAGGGTGGTGTCATCGAACGTCGACCTTCAGGTAGAGAGAGCAGGATCCGTTCATATGGATCCGAATCATGGAGAGCTCAGACAGGACGACGAGATCGAGCGTGATGAGAGTGATCCTACATGGTGTAAGGAGTCAATTGCAGGCAAGTCATTCGATACTATGCTTTAGTCAACGACGATCGCACCGGACCGAAGGAGCACCAGGAAAAGACAGATCGAGCAGAATGAGGCCCTTCGCACGTCAGCTCGGACGGCCAATTCACCATTTACAAACGAGATCTTGAATGCACCGAAGCCAAGGAAGTTTTCCATGCCGGTATTCACTCTGTTTGACGGGACGAAAGACCCGATCGAGCATGTTTACCATATTCAGTTGAAGATGGCATTGGACACAGGAGACGACGCCCTGATGTGCAAAGTCTTCCCGATAAGCCTCACTGGACTAACACTTAATTGGTTCAAGCATTTGCCAAGAGAATCGGTTGGGAGTTTTCGAGATATTTGTGACCAGTTTATAGGCTAGTACTTTGGCAATAAGCATTTGGCTAAGGACATATCGTGCCTATTCACCATACGGCAGCAAGAGGGTGAGTGCCTTCAAGCTTCCCTCACTCGTTTCAACCTTGAGAAGAGCATGGTGATCGAATGCCACCCTCCCTCAGCAGTACAGGCATTCAAGCTGACCATGATACGAGGGATTTCGTTCCACACGAGCCTCATTGTGCAGATCCCAAAAACTATGGATGATTTGAATACTAGAGTAGAAGGCTTCGTGCGTTTGGAAGAAGATGAAGCTGTCAACACAAACCGTGGAACGTAACGTTTCTGAAGAGGTATTACCAATAGAGTAAAATTGCCAATTAAGTTTCAATTTCAATGTCTATTAGAAATATGTTCCTTTATGTAAGTGCAAGTGAACTGGTCAAACAAAATCTATAAAAAAAAAGGGTTTTTTTTTTTTAAAGAAGAAGTCTGAGCCGAACACCAAAACTTGCACAAATACAATTAAGTCAGTGGCAAGTGGCATTCTAGCCAAGCGCCAAGCACTTAACCAAGTAAGTGGCAAGTGACATTATGAGCCGAACACCAAAAATTTGCACAAATACAAATAAGTCAGTGGAAAATGGCATTCTAACCGAGCGCTAAATACTTAACCAAGTAAGTGGCAAGTGGCACTGTGAGCCGAACACCAAAACTTGCACAAATACAAATAAGTCAGTGACAAGTGGCATTCTAGCTGAGTGCCAAACACTTAACCAAGTAAGTGGCAAGTGGCACTATGAGCCGAATGCCAAAAACTTACACAAATACAAACAAATTAGTGGCAAGTGGCATCTAGCTGAGCGCCAAACACTTAACCAAATAAGTGGCAAGTGGCACTATGAGCCGAACACCAAAAACTTGCACAAATACAAACAAATCAGTGGCAAGTGGCATTCTAACTGAGCGCCAAGTACTTAACCAAGTAAGTGGTAAGTGACACTATTAGCCGAATGCCAAAAACTTGCACAAATATAAATAAGTTAGTGGCAAGTGACATTCTAGCCGAGCGCCAAAAACTTTACCAAGTAAGCGGCAAGTGGCATTATGAGCCGAAAGTAGGGGTGGCAAAACTCGACACGACCCACCAACACGACACGAGATAAATGGGTTTAGGTTGACCATAATTGGGTTCCGGTCATAAAGAGGTTGATACGATTAACCCGTTTAATTAATCGTGTCGTGTTCGGGTTGTGGGGCTCAACCCATGTAACCCTTTTATACCCATTTAACTAAACGTGTCATAATCGTATCAATATGACCCGTGTAACCCGTTACCTATATTTAGACCCAATTAATAGGGATATTTAGGTCATTTTATCTTAACCCTATTAATTATAAGTCAGCTCTTAATTTGTTTGCACTTCCCAAATTTTTTTTTTTTCTTTAAGATGTTGTAGAATTCAATTTCCCATTCACACGGTTCACCTCTTCAGTTGCTCTCAGACACTCTTACCCATACCTTAACCTTACATCTCCCTCTTCAGTCTCCATTTCAAAGCCACATATATTATAAAGCCATATATATTATAAATGGTGGAAGAAGATCTATCTCCATATGTATCCCACAGCCTAGGCCGAAAGAAGAAGACAATCTTCAAACAACCTCTGATCACCGAAAATATAGAAGACACGTAATTAATTTCTCACCCTCTCTTCTTCATATTTCTTCCTTCCTCATCATATGTTCATACCTCTTGAGTTTTTTCAGATTCATGTAATAGAAACCTTAACCCTCGTTTCCTAATTTAGTTTTTTTTTTTTCCTTGTTGGTTTTCCTGTTGCGTAAAATCAGATTTGTGAAACTTAGAGAAAATATCAACAAGTGAGAAAACAATTCTATGTTTTTCTGGATTTAGGGATGGGTTGCTCTTCAAAACCTAGGTCTGGTTCAAAGCATGAAATAGATCCCACCCCTGTCATATCAGCATTTTCTCTTTATTTGTCTTATAAATCCATTTATTCAGTTGGAGAGGTCTGGATCAGACTTTTTTTTTTTTTTTTTTTTTGTTTATTCTATTACATATTTCTTTGTTGTGATTCCCTTTTTTTTTTTTTTTTTTTTTTTTCATGTTTCACTGAATATATATTTTAATTAGATATGGTTCTAAAGTTATGTATATATTATTTTAATATTTTTCCAAGGTACATATTAGAACTTTAGATAGGGTTCTAAAGTCGGTAATAATGAGATTCCAAAATTTTCATTCTATTTTCTTACAAATTTTCAGTAGCTGAATAGAGCTTTTATAATGTGTATTTAGTTTACTTTCCATTACAAACATGTTGCATACTATCATATTTTTATTTGCTATTTATTATGGATATTTTTTATTAGGTGTTATTGTGTGTGATTTTTTTTTTCCTTTTGTAATACGTAGATGGATTCTCGAAATGCTGAGCAAGTTAGGAAGTGCAAACGAACACTCACATCATCAGTTTGGGTGCACTTTGATATACTTCTGATGGATGAAGACAGCAAGAAAAAATGCAAATGTAAGAAGTGCGGGGCTGTGTATATTGCTGATAGCCGGTATGGTACTTGTAACTTGAAGCGACATATGGTCTCTTGTATTAAAAGGGATGCGCTGACATAGGTCAGTTACTTATATCTCCAGTTACTTTTATTCAGCTGAAAATATTTTTTTGTTGGATGTTTTAATATAAATACAATGAAGCTTCAAGTTGATGACTTGACTCAAAATGTTATGCAACCAAATATCAACAATGATGACCGTCCTTCAGCCCAATCTTTCAACAGTGTTTGTATGACCAAAAATTAAAAATTCAGTAGGTAGTTATACTCTTCTTTTGGTGGTGGTGCTAGTTTGCTAGAAATTGAAAATTTAAAGGTTTTAAAGAAAATATTTTGGCTTCTACTTTACAATTCAAGTTATTGTTTTGTCATTGTTGTAAATGGTAGGCAGTGTCTGTCAAGCAAAGCTAATGTTTAGATATAAATTTGAAATGGGGTTTTAGAGTCGAGTACAAGAAGATATTTGTTAAATTCCTAGTTACTCCATCCAAGTATGTAAAAATGAATTAATTATAGCAAGTGTGACATTTTGATTTTAAGCTGACATTTTATTATATTCATATCAATATATCAAATTATATTGTGTTTTTGTGTGCTTTAGCAAGTCATGTTCCTTGGTATTCAAACTTTGAATAAATTTTCATGTGGTTGTTGTAGTTTGGTGGAAAAATCATATTTTAATTATTTTGCTTATTTATGCCATCAAGCCTGCATCATTATCTATTTAAAATCAAATGAAAATCTAGCTTATTCACTTCTTTGCCTTACAGGTATTTTTATCAAAGAGTTGGTCTTCCTTTCTCAAGTTGCTGCTGCTTTAGTTTTTTTTGGCTTCTTTTTGTATGCAACAGAATGATGACATCCGAAAGACTTTTAAGAGAAGTGATGAGCTAGACACATCATGAAGACAAAGATGATAATTTTTTTTCTTTTGTTTTTTTTTTAGTTCCTTTGCATTGTACTTGGCTTTTGGGGGGTTGATGTTTTTCTTTTTCTTTTGAATATTTGGGCTTTGTAATAACTCTCTAAATTTTTGTCTTTTAATTTACTATCGTATGGACTAGTTAGTAATTTGGCTGGATTCTAAGTTTTTTTCCTAATAATTATTGTTTAATTGAGTAAATAGATCATTAAACGGGATAAAAGACCATTTAAGTTAAACAGGTCTTTAAATTAGTTGGGTTGTGTTGTGTGTTACACGAACCATTTATTAAACGGGTTACACGTGTCGTGTCATGTCACCCGTTTAATAAACAGGTCGTTTTCGTGTTGAGGGTTCTTGACACGATTATTAAATGGGTCATGTTCGGGTTAACTTATTTAGTAGAATACACCTAGATTAACACGACACGATTACAACCCGTGAACACGAATTGCCACCCCTAGCCGAAAGCCAAAAATCTGCACAAATACAAATAAGTCAGTGGCAAGTGGCATTTTAGCTGAGCACCAAATGCTAACCAAGTAAGTGGAGAGCGACACTATTAGCCGAACGCCAAAAACTTGCACAAATACAATTCAACACATTTGCAAGTGATACTCTAGCCTAACGCCAAAACACTTATTAGCCAAACGACAGATGCTTGTGAAATTAGCCGAACGGAAAACACTTGTGAAATTTGCAAGTTAAAAATGGAAGTAGAACAGAGCCCAAGAAAAAATTCTTCATATACTTTCATTTAGAAGAACAAGGGTAGGCATTCTCAACCTTACAAAAATCAAATTCAGAATAAAGCAAAAACAAAAACAAATTACTGATCTATTCCGTTCTTTTGTCCCGCCGGGCTGATCTAGCATCACCCCGAACGTCATCCATTGTCTCATCTCCTCAGGATTGGGAATCAATCTAAACAATATCCTTAAGCGTCCGAGCCTAACTGTCAACAGTTTGGGCGGATGGGGAAACAAAAGGCCCAATAGCGGCACTCAGAGGTTAAACTGCAAAAACAGGAGGAATGGCCCCAGAGGTCACAATCTCTTTACACTCCCTAAAGATAAGCTCGGTTGGATTAAGGGATGGGTCGGTGTAATTGCTTGGTGGGTCAATCTTAAGATCACTGTCACAATCATCCGGACCGGTGTAAGAGCTCGTCTTCCCTTTGGGAGGGAAACGATTTGTGAAACCATCTCTAAACCCTTGAGCATATCTGAGAGCTCCAGCCCGGGAGAAACGAGTATACAAGGCCTTTATCCCACCTTCAACCTTGCTCATTATGCCCAGGAGAGCCATGCAGTCATCCGAGGATTTCTTTTCAAGTGCCGACCGGTCAGCCCGCTTAGTCGCCAGGGCGCTCTGGGGATTATCCCTCTCAGTCTGCAGAGCATCCCTCTCAGTCCGCAGGACATCCCTCTTTTTCAGTAGAGCAACCAACTCGAGCTCCAACTGTATTTGCCTGGCATTAGCCTTCCTCAGGTCAATGTTCACAGCCTTGATCCCAGCAGAGAAGTTGCGGACGTTCTTGTCTGCAATCTCAAGTTGCCTCTGCATGGTGATCATCCCAAATAGGGTATGTATGCAAACACATAAAAACTGTTATTCCCAATATGAGCTAACAAAGTTAGAATAATGAAAAGAAAGAGAAGAGATTAGAAAGGGTCAAACAGCAAGTCACCTCCATGGCAGAAATAGGGAACCGGTTGTATATGTCCCTCTGGCCCATCTCTTTTTAGACTTTTACATCCTGTAGAGTCCATATGTTTTTGTAATATGCAAGAGTGGTTGGACCATCCTTGAACACGGTGTTACTGGGGGAAATAACCAATCCATCCACTTGCACGTACCTGGGGGTCCACGGAATCACTATCAGAGAGGGAGATGAAGTCCTCTCTGCTTCCTCGGTTTTACCGCCAGAAGAGGCACTTCTTGTTGCGAATTGGGCTCGGTCGCCCCAAAAATCTGAACCCTTTGTGTTAAGTGAACGTCGTCCATATCAGACCAGACCCCTCATCCGGCAGGGGTCACTTTCCTTTCCCCTTCTCCGAGGCAGATTCTAAGACAGGTGGAGAATTTTTGGTGCTGGGAGCAACGTTTGCAAGGCCAGACTTGACAACTTGAAAGAGAAAGTATGGAACAACATCCCTTCGTCCTTCGAGCTATTTACACCAGAATCCTTCAACAACATAGCATTCTTAAGGATTTGCATGGATGAGGAACATATTAAGAGTTTTAAAAAAGAACAGTTTCGTTGACTGAGGCGTTAGAGAAATAAAGAGGCTTCAGTTTTCAAAGCATTGATCTCAGCACTAACCGTCTGCTTCCCCATGTCATCGTATTGAGCCGTCACATCATGATTACATCCCCTTGTTAATCTCACCCTAATTAATTAGGGAACAGGTGAGGGTACCGAAAATAAACTGGCTGTAATACCTCTAATTTTACAAGGACAATTCTGAAATTTAATTATTGTATTTAATTGCATTTTATTTAATTATATGTAATTTTATTGAATTATTTTTAATTGGTGTAATTATTTAAGTTTTTTTTTGAATTACTTGTTGTATTATTGTTATTTACTTGTGTTTTATTTTCTTTAAATTAAATGGTTTTCTTTTTATATTATGTGGTTAGTTATTTTTAATCTCATGTGTATTTAATCAGATTTTATTTTAAAATGGATTAAATTAATTACGTGAATTGACTTAGGGTTTTATGTTTTACATCGTGTCTAGGATTGGAGTCGACATATAGTTGGTTTAGGATTTAATTTAGGGTTTTACGTAAAACCTATAAATATAAACATACGTCTGTCAAGGGTTTGTTGTAACACCCCTAATTTTAAACGGATAGTCTCGGTATTTATTTATTTGTTTTAATTGTATTTTTAATTATTTAATTGATTATTTGACTAATTGTTTATGTGTTTAATTGAATTATGTATTACTTGATTATTTGATTATGTGTCTATGTATTATTTGTATTTGCATATGTGTTAATTGTTTAATTAGATTATGTGCTTAAATGGTGTTTTGATTAATTGTAAATTAAAAGTTTTCTTTTCTTTTATTATTTTCTTCTTTTTTTTTTCTTTTATGGTTATGGTTAGTAGTAATGGGCCAACCAATTAGGTCCAATGGACTACTTGGATAGGAGGTTGGATGTGTATGTATTATTACCCATGCATAGTTGTGTATGTATATATATAGATATATATTATATACATATATAAAAAGGAAAGTAATTTATTAATTACTTTTATGGTAACTTGGGTAATAATTTTTAATCTGATGTATATGTTTTATATTTAAATAATAAAAATATACATAGATTTGATACGTGTTATGTTTTAAGTTACTTTATAATATTATGGTAACTTAAGTATTATTAGATAATCCATTAATAAATAATGGAATGTGCATAATTTATTTATTTAATAAACATATACATAAATTATATACGTAACATATTTTACTTACCTTTTTAATATATATAAAAGGGAAAGTAATTTATTAATTACTTTTATGGTAACTTGGGTAGTAATATTTAATCTGATGTATATGTTTTATATTTAAATAATAAAAATATACGTAGATTTGATGCGTGTTATGTTTTAAGTTACTTTATAATATTATGGTAACTTAAGTATTACTGGATAATCCATTAATAAATAATAGAATGCGTATAATTTATTTATGTAATAAACATATACATAAATTATATACGTAACATATTTTACTTACCTTTTTAATATATATAAAAGGGAAAGTAATTTATTAATAATTTTTATGGTAACTTAGGTTATAATATTTAATCTGATGTATATGTTTTATATTTAAATAATAAAAATATATGTAGATTTAATACGTGTTATGTTTTAAGTTACTTTATAATATTATGATAACTTAAGTATTATTGGATAATCCATTAATAAATAATGGGATGTGTATAATTTATTTATTTAATAAAGATATACATAAATTATATACGTAACATATTTTACTTACCTTTTTAATATTTTAATATTTATTTTTTTTAAGTTGACCTAGATTGGGAAAAGGGTTAGGGTTATTTTATTTAGCCTATAAATATATAGCTATAGGTTGTAAAAGGGGGTTGAAAATATTCACGTGATATATTCTAGAGAGAGAGAGTTAGAGAGGGAAGGAGGAAAATGAAGGAAGGAGGAAAAAAAACCCTGTAGAGAGAAATCAAGGAAGAAGAAGTTTAACTTTCGATCTAAAAGTTTAAGGCAATTTCTTATTCTATCTCTTTCCCTTTAATTTGTGTTTCTGTACATGCCTAGAAAATTCCAGGATTTATTAAACACATAAAATTAAATAATTATGCGTGTTTAATTGGATTAGAACATAGGTTTTATGAATTTGGTTCATATCTATTCTTGTGTTATAAATTAATAAATGCATGATTTTGATTTGATTTTCGGTGTGAATTTTTACATGTTTAAATTATATATTTTTCATATCTGTGGAATGATGGAATGTAGAAACATGCCTAGGATTCCTGAACATTAAATAGGAATTAGGTTTGGGTTTAAATAAATTTAAATAGACTCAATCATAATGATGCTTGCTATTTGAATATTTTAAACAAACGAATGAAATTAATCTTTTAATATGTTTTAGTAATTGAGATTAAATGTGTACGATGAATTGGATATAGAGAATGCTTATTTGACGGTATAATAAAATATTATCATATGTATAAGATTCAGTTTATGTAGGACATATGATATATGAAGTTTAAATAAATAATAAGTCATTCCTATTTTGTGATAACTTAATATCATATTATCATAGTTATTTTTGAATTGTTTGATGTATTTCCTTAATCATTACATTAATTGTTGGATTGTGTGGTTTAATGCACAGGTATGGGACGGTGGCATTCTAGGGACGGATTAACTTATCAGTTAAGTCCTACCTATTTTATATAAGGGAATGGATTAACTAAAATGTTAAGTCCTACTTATATTCAAGTCAGGTTAGCTGAATAAGTTGAATGACTTATGGAGGATTAATTTAGTATATAAGGGAATTGATTAACTAAAATGTTAAATTCTACTTATATTCAAGTCAGGTCAGCTGAACAAGTTGAATGACTTATGGAGGATTAATTTATACTGA